AGATATCGGTATCCGTTGGGGTCAATTACGGATAAATATGCAAATGTATAAGGTCAGGTAGGTAGGTCTTTACAAACTTGGCATCCCACTTTTCTATCGGCTATAGCATGTATAGTGTCGGTGTTGACCATCGGGAATCTAGACAAGTTAGTGAGATCATTGTTGTCATTATCATAATAATAGTCGGGATATCAAACATCAATGGTGCATAGCTGAGAACTTGTACAAGTGTAGGCAAGCGGTAAAGATGTAAAGCATCAATGTAGCGTTTGTTTGTTTGTTTGTTTGTCTGTTTGTTTGTTTGTTTGTTTGTTGTTTAACGCTGCACTCAGCAATGTTCCAGCTACATGATGGCAGTCTATAAATAATCGAGTTAGGACCAGACAATCCAGATTGGCATCATTAGCATTGATCCACACAATTGGGATCGATGGCATGCATGAACCAAGTCAGCGAGCCTGACCACCCGATCCCGTTAGTTGCCTCTTACGACAAGCATAGTCGCCTTTTACTGCAAGCATGGGTTGCTGAAGACTTATTTGTGTTCTTTGATAAATTACCTTTGAAAACTATAAACTTTGCCCGTTTGTCTTTTAAACCTGTCTAAAAACAAGTATTACCTGTTGTCACTGTCCGACAGACTAATCATTCAAGGAAATGTTTAGATACCGGATTGTTAGAGATTTGTTTTGACTAAAGACTTTATTAGTGACATCATATGACAAAGACATTAGTGTGTGTGTGTGTGTGTGTGTGTGTGTGTGTGTGTGTGTGTGTGTGTGTGTGTTTTGGACTGCTAAATATCCTGCTTTAAGAATAAACACTATGAACTTAGCTTGCCTAGCCTGCTAAACACAGTGCATATTCTGAATACAGGATATTAACCATCCAAAAGTCTGACAATCTTTGTTTATTATTTATACGAGAAAGCTGTAGTCTGGCTGATCACGAGACATTCCCAGACAGCATTGTTCTGGCTCAAGCTCCATGGTGTACCTATTGCCAAAATATTCCGGACAGAGACTAAAAACAACAAATTAAAAACCCCCAAAACTTGTGATACAATAGCTTGTTATCTTCTAGATACATACAATTTTATACAAACACATGCCAGCTTTTCATTCAGCTGTTGCCTTATTTTTGCCCATGAGTATATTTTTAAAAACCCAGACCAGCGGGATGAAGGGATTCATTCATTGATGCACAGGGTAACAATGGTGTAAGGGAAGGGTTTCTTCGCAGTATGCATCAGTCTACGACACCTCTTTAGCAGCCTGTTTCAGTTGTCGGAGATTGTGTGACCGAAATTCTTCTAAATTAGCATTTTCTGATGAAGGGAGTTATTGTCTGGGGAAATTCTATCCTAAAGGGCAAGTTTTCGTCTGAATGGTTTTCTATCCTGACAGCCACCCTGATGAGCCACAATCCTGGCTGAGTTACACTCCAAGCCTGCCACCCATGGCCAAGCCTTTCATTAGCTGCACAATACCAAAATAGAATGTTAACATGTTAAGTTAGACAGTATTGAGTGGCAGGCTTTGGTGTGTGGTTTCATTGTGTTTGTACAAAATCGGAGACTATTAGCTGTATAAGACTGTTACAGTATAATGGACCCGATCGGCGAGACCTGTGTGTGTGATGTTGATGTTTTAAGACATGATGTTGTTGTAGGCTAGTCATTTTGTGCTTGTTTGAGTAATCATGTGTCTGGAATAATATTTAATTTTGTACCTGGTTGATTTATGAACGTAATCATACGAAGGTGACGGAGACTGTTGCCTCGCACTATCGACTGCATGTTTTGTCTTGCTCTGACTGAATATCTTGGTCCAATGTGTTACAATGGCCGTGACCCGTGAAGATCCGGGGTAGAATTGGTCTTCAGCCCTTGTTTGCCGTAAAAGGCAACTATGCTTGTCGTAAGAGGCAACTAACGGGATCGGGTGGTCAGGCTCGCTGACTTAGTTGATGTATGTCACTGTATCCCAATTGAGTTGATCGATGCTCATGATGTCAATCACCGGATGGTCTGGTCCAGACTCGATTATTTACAGACCGCAATCATATAGCTGGAGTGAGTGAGTGAGTATGGTTTTACGCCGCTTTTAGCAATATTCCAGCAATATCACGGTGGGGGACACCAGAAATGGGCTTCACACATTGTACCCATGTCAGGAATCGAACCCGGGTCTTTGGCGTGATGAGCGAACGCTTTCACCACTAGGCTACCCGACCGCCCCATATAGCTGGAAAATTGCTGAGGGTGGTGTTAAACAACAAACAAACAAACAAGGAAGTATGTAACAGGACCTCCTCATAGGTTGATAATCGGCCCTAAGTCGGCACAATTTTCAGTAATAAAAGAATTAAAAATGTACTATTTCATGTAAATATGGTTATCACAAATCTGATGACTTGGTCGAGGTGTCTTGCATTCCACTGATAACTGAACCCACCTATAAAGGGGTTAATTTTACATCATTGTATGGAATGAACAAGGATCAAGTGATCCATGCTCATGAAGTCAATCACTGGACTGTCTGGTCCAGACTTGAGTATTTACAGACCACCACCATATAGCTGGAATATTGCTGAGGGTGGCGTTAAACAACCAAACAAGCAATGCAGAATGTGATCCATGTGCTTCACTGTCAGTAGGGATATAGCATGTCAGTCTGTGGAGCAGGGGGAGGGGTAGCAAATATGTGACAATCACTGGTGCACGTCAGTGAAAGAGGAGGGGTGTGTTCAGCATTGTACATGTTGTAGTTGAACCTACTTCATGGTCGTAAAATATCTCTTGCAAATTTAATGTGATTTACATTTTTTTATCAGAATCTTTTAGTAGTCCATGAAAGAAAGGCCCCTTCCCTGGCAACCATGTTCCATTAAGGGAAGAGATTATCATTATTTTTTTTCAAAAGAAGGCATTCTTTTGTAGTCGTTCTTGTCTAAGCCTCGATAAATACATCAATCTGGCATTAACTTAAGAGCGCTTTCAGCATGTTTAATATTTTTTCTGCTCCTATTACCGTGAAAACAATAGGGTGACAGGCCAGTAAGAGTTTATACTTCATGTTATTTTTAACATGCTTATTGGCTGCCTGGCCCAGGGGTCTGACGCAATGCAGTTGGCTGCAGGTTCAAAGCCAAGATTCACTGCAATTACCATCCTTAGTGTGTCACTGTCATACCTGTGCTTGAGTGCTTCACCAAAGTAGTATGGAGGTCAGGCTAATTTTTACATACATTATTCTATTGAGGTTTATACATCTTTTAGTTCATGTAAAAATGTTGGAGATATGGCTGTTTAAAAGAGTGTAAAAAGCGGCCATTTTGTTTTCCAAGATGCTCGCCATTAAGTTTACAATTATTTCAGGAATTAAAAGCCCCGGGAATGAAGATTTGATGGTATTTTGGCAAATAGGTGCCATACCCTAGTTTTCTAAAGGAGCTGCATACCTGGCTCTTGAATAATAATTCTATTCATGGTAAAATAGCAAAGAGAACAAAACAAGAATCGACATAATGTTTTATTAAGACATTCTTCATAAGCATGTATCCTCTTGTTATTTCTACCATACCTGCCTCCCTAAAAGTGGTATCTGATAACTGTTTTTTGCTTGAGGTGGCGCAAGTTGCACGATCATGTATGATGCTGCAAGTCGCTGTGCACAGTTGCATCCCTTTGGCGTGCAGAAACCCAGTGTGAGGGTTGAAATCTTGTTTGCCTGATTGTTTCTAGGTTTGTCAGCACCATACCATGCCATACAAAGTGGTAAACTTCTATGACCTCTTTCACTTCAGGCCTTCGTCTGATATCACATTGACACTGAAAAAACTGAATACTGTTCAAAGCAGCGTTGAATTAAACTCACTCACTCACTTTTGCTCTCCTTCAACGAAAGCTGACACCCCGTGATGTAACCCATATATATTGAATACTGATAAAAGCTACTTTAAGCTCCACGCATTCAGTGAGTTGATTCCATGTTAGAAGTGCTCCCCAGCAAATTTTCCCCTGGTCATTAGGGGGACCAAATGGATCAGGTGATGAGGTTCGCTGACTAGGTTTAATGTGTGTCATCTTGTCTTGGGCCATTGTTCACAATATTAATCACAGGATTGTCTGGTCCAGATTAAATCATTTACAGGCCGCAATCATATAGATGCAATATCGTGGAATGCGGGGTTTAACAACAAGCAATCACTAGTTTTTGGTGAGGCAAGCACAGTGGTGCAGATAATTTTTTGAGCAATTGAGTTTTTACTCTAGGGTTTCTATTTTAATTGGGTTATTACATTTTTCATTGGGTAACCAATATTTTCACTCATCTTTTCATCACTCTATTGGCTTTTCCCCAAATTAGTGAACATTTTAAGATTTAACAAAGATGAAATAATATTTTAGATGTATATAACTGTTCTAAATATATAGGCTTGACTCGAAAGTAAATTAACTCTGTTTCGGAAATTAGCTCCTTTGTACGCATGCTGAAAAAGCTTCATTGGGTATTTAAGCGAGCTGGGTTTTTTACATTTGAGTTTTTCATTTAATGCATGCATTTCTGTATGCAAGTTAATTGAAAGTAATTGGGTTTTGAATATTTGGGGGGGGGTATTTTACATTGCTTATCTGTAGCTCTGCAAGCAGTAGCAATTGTGAATGCGGTATGCATACAAGTATCCGTTTGATGGAAGCATAATTGAATATCCCTACATACCTACATACACCGCCTCTACCTATGCAGACAGGTAAGGCAGATGTTGTGTACCTGAAAACCACCTGTATTGACTCTACAGTCAACGTGACAGAACTTGTCGCTGTGTACATTTTCTGTTTATACTTTACGAGAATTGTTAGGATGTTAAAGCATTAAAGTGTAAATGGGGTTAGCTATCAGTGACTGCTTTAGGATAGACAGCCACTGTCTTTGTGAGGATGTGTTTTGTGAGTATTTTATGTAGGTAGGCTAGTGATCATTGAGCCGTGATCTGCCGAGCTGACTGACAGGTAGCTAAAGACGACAGATAGCTGGTGAGTGAATCACACGGGTATACGCTCACAACAGCAATTGTGTGTTTGGAATGTACTGCTACCTTTTGTGGAGGGCTCCTTCCGCCACTGCCCAATCTGTTTGTGTACGAGGGGCTGTTTGACGCGTGAGAGTGCCACCAGAGTGGCAGCCTGGAGTGCTGTGTCCGGCTGCAGTTGTCCAAGGAGTGCATCAGGGCATGTCAAGTGTTGTGCACAAGTCGTCCAAAAGTGAGTCATGCTGTTGTTGTTTTTCATAGCAGTTTTATACAAACCAGGATTGAAGTTCAGTGCTGATGCTCGGGTGTATGTATTGTACGCAGGGAGTTCTTACAAATTCATTGACATTGTTTTGTAGTCATGAGTAGGTGGCAGAGTTTCTGCAACATTTGCCGTTGTTGTGTGCCGGCAGTGGTGAGTGTATTACACAGTGAAAGCCACAGTAGCAAGACACTTGACTTGCTTCACACTACAGTAATGCACGTTTTTATGCAGCATCAGGCTAGAGATCGGCTTTAAACTCTGTTAAACTGCAATAAAGAGTGTTGATTCGTGTTTATCTTTATTAATATTATTCAATCAGAGTACATTTATCTAGAAGCAGATATTCGGCTCCAAATCAACAGCAAATGGCAGTAAAAATTCCCAAATTGGAATTAAAAACCTTCCCAATTCATTTTGATGTAATTATTAATACAGTTACGACCTTATACAGATTTGCGCTACACTTACGTTGCCAGTGAACACGATAAAGAGGAAGGAGGGTTACTGCTAAGTTTTATACAGCTGCATTGAATCAGAGCTGGGAATACATCATTAAAATACCTTTGAATTTAAGGAAATAACTTTAAAAAATCCCAGTATTGGGCATAGTAATTTTTTCCCAATTTGCCTAGGCTACCAAGGGCACTTTGTTTGAAATCCAAAGCCCTTGGAATGGTAGCAATAAGATGGTAAGTTATGGCTTATTGTGTCCATGTATATTCTGTGAGAGACTGGGAGTGTTTGGGTAGGTACATATTTGTCTGGCTTATAGATTCCACGAGTCCATTAATCAGGAGTTGCCTGAGGCACTAGCTCCTCGCTTTGTACTTAATCCACCAATCTATATATACATGGAACACATCACACGACACCCTTCATGTTAAAACACATTGACAACTTGGGCTCAGATAACACTGAGGTAGTCCTCGCCAGACATGCAAAGTCTCAACGTATTTCCTCTCAGACATGCTGAAGCTTAATGTATGAATATCCTTCCTATCAGACATCCTAAGTCTGAACTTATTTCATATCAGACACGCAGGGTGGTTGGGCAGCCTACTGGTTAAAGTGTTCGCAATGTGTGAAGCTCATTTCTAGTGTCACCCGCCGTGATATTGCTAAAATCAAACTCACTCACTCACTATCAGACATGCAAAGTCTGGACTTATGTCCTCTCAGACATGCTCAAGCAAAATAATTGATATCCTGTCAGACATGCTAAAGCAAAATTAATTTCCTATCAGACATGCAAAATCTGAATTTATTTCCAGTTAGACATGTTAAATCTGAATATGTTTCCTAATTGACATGCTAAGTCTGAATTTTTTTTCCATCAGACATGCTGAAGCAAAATTGATATCGTATCAGATGTGCTTATGCTGAATGTATTCCCTATCAAACATGCTTTATCAGAACTTATTTCCGATCAGACATGCTAAGTTTGAACTTATTTCCGATCAGACATTCTAAGTTTGAACTGATTTCCCATCAGACATGCTTATGCTGAATGTATTCCCTGTCAGACATGCTTATGCTGAATGTATTCCCTGTCAGACATGCTTATGCTGAATGTATTCCCTGTCAGACATGCTTATGCTGAATGTAGTCCCTGTCAGACATGCTTATGCTGAATGTAGTCCCTGTCAGACATGCTTATGCTGAATGTAGTCCCTGTCAGACATGCTTATGCTTAATGTAGTCCCTGTCAGACATGCTTATGCTGAATGTATTCCCTGTCAGACATGCTTATGCTGAATGTAGTCCCTGTCAGACATGCTTATGCTGAATGTAGTCCCTGTCAGACATGCTTATGCTGAATGTATTCCCTGTCAGACATGCTTATGCTGAATGTAGTCCCTGTCAGACATGCTTATGCTGAATGTAGTCCCTGTCAGACATGCTTATGCTGAATGTAGTCCCTGTCAGACATGCTTATGCTGAATGTATTCCCTGTCAGACATGCTTATGCTGAATGTAGTCCCTGTCAGACATGCTTATGCTTAATGTAGTCCCTGTCAGACATGCTTATGCTGAATGTATTCCCTGTCAGACATGCTTATGCTGAATGTATTCCCTGTCAGACATGCTTATGCTGAATGTAGTCCCTGTCAGACATGCTAAAGTGAAATGTAGTCCCAGTCTGACATACTAAAGCTGAACATATCACCCTGTCAGGCAGTTTCAATCGAAACATGTTTGCAGCTCTGTTCTTATAAGGCGACTCAACCAGTTCAGGGACAGAGGGCGTCTGAGTGCATGTGATGGTCGTCTCCTCATCAAGAAGGCCTATGCAGTTATTGCAGTGTTCGAAACTAAGCATGATAGTCATCGCTTATGTGCCTTATTTCAAGTTTCATCATAATTTGGGTTTTCCTAGATTCAAATACCTGAAAGACAACAGGACCCCCCCCCCCCCCCCCCCCCCCCCCCCCTTAATTTTGAACACTGCATTGTATCATATTCGTTAACTCATAAATTGGAGTGTGTGTGTGTGTCTCTCTCTCTCTCTCTCTCCCTCCCTCCCTCCCTCTCTCTCTCTCTCTCTCTCTCTCTCTCTCTCCGCTGTGTGCCTGTGTAGAGTGCTGCAGTGGTTATGGTAGTTGTCATTAACGTATGAGCGTAAATATGACAACACATCTGTCTGTGGACTACGAGGACTGTGTGACATGTCAAGGCTGACTGGTGGGAACTCGACCCTGATGATAATACAATGTAAACTATGGCACACTGAACAAATAGCTACATCACATCATAGCTCACCCTGTAATGAAGAGGTCATCTACCCAGCCGGCACCAGCCCACTGCAGAGGCCATGTTTGAGGAGCAGCAGACAGTTGCTCATTTGTACTGGCGATTTAACCCAGATTACAAAAGCATGTTTTGACTTGTTTTTTTTTATCTATCTAAGGCCAGACCAATTTTGTTTCATGTATTAGGGATTCTTTGAACCTAATTGGCTGGATGGAAGTGATTTTGTTTCTTTTTTTCCTGGGGCTGTCGGGTAGCCTAGTGGTTAAAGCGTTCGCTCGTCACGCCGAAGACCCGGGTTCGATTCCCGACATGGGTACAATGTGTGAAGCCCATTTCTGGTGTCCCCCGCCGTGATATTGCTGGAATATTGCTAAAAGCGGCGTAAAACCATACTCACTCACTCACTCTTTTTTTCCTTAAATTAAAAGTGAAATTTCAATGTTTGAAGCTGGAAAAAGACATTTTTTTGTTTCCCATGACAAGCACCTGTTATATGACCTCTACCACTGACTATTGTAACACTGACAAACTCCGGACTGGAAACTTTATTTACTTTTGACAGCAGTGCCATGTTAAAACAACCACCCATCACTGGCGTGATATGGGAAAGCGCTGACAAGTTGGTGGTGCGCCAATCAATATCAGTCTGTTCAATGTTTAGCAGAGTTAGAAATACCCTCCTGCCTAATCCTCCAAGATGGTCTGTTTTTGTCTCGGGCAGGTAACTTTACGAATATGCACGCCCAATGGTTGAGTTGATTTTTAAACTGAATATGTAAAATATTAAATATATAAATAAATGAAAAATTAAGATGCATATCAGAGATAGAAACTAACCTTTTTAGTCTACTAGTTCTTATAATGATACCATATATCAAAACCCTTAAAAAGGGCAAATTTCTACCAGTCCTCATGATACCTTAACTATTGGGCAGGTGGGCAAGGACTATAGGACTAGTGCCAATTTCTAAAGCTGCATGTTAGCTGACATGATTTACGAAAAAAGTGACTAATTTATGACTGCACGAAATCTTGCTGTAGCCATTGCTAATGTTGTGAAAAATGCATGAAGATTTGGCATGCACTCCCAACACAATGCATCAGTGTGTAGTACTCATGTGGCATAGCAAGGCGAGGCTGCTAAAAGGGTGTGTTAATATTAAACCATTTAACTGACTGTGTGTTTACTATCACTTGCAAAGAGTTGGTCTGTTTAATTTACGAAATCTGGACTGGCAACTTTCTAGCTGGAAAGGTAACTTTTGTGAGTTACCAGTCCGGCTGTCTGGCTAGATTTGTTTGGTGAATATTAAACACTGTATGTGTAGTCAGTAGATTGATAAAAGGATTATTAAGTGTTTGTTTAGATTGAAAAAAACAGTTTTAGTCCACCAGTCCTTATAATGATGACACAGCGAAACCCTTAAAAAGGGCAAATTTCAGCTAGTCCTTATGCTACCTAAACTATTGGGCAGTCGCTAGGACTACAGGAATAGTGTCAATTTCTAACTCTGTTATCTGTGAAATATAGTTTAACATGTTTTATTTGATCGAAAAAAATTATTTCCAAAGCTGGAGAAAACAGTGAAATGATTACCGGGTAATATTGGTAAAAAAACATGCATCCTCTTTTATGCTTTGATACACCAGGCCAGCATTCTTGAATGTACCAGATATGTTCAATCAATATACAACATTTTGATACTTTTGTAAAGATATTACAACAGTTAGTAAAATGTATAATTTGATTAGATATAATGGCAGTGAAAGATTCATATATCTGGTGTAGACAGTGTACCATTTACCAGTCTCTTCATAAGTTTACAAGCTAAATTATGGACAAAGGTTTTGTACTACTGGCTTCAGTTACAGAAGATTGGTGGGGTAGCCTTGTGTTAAAACCGTGGCTAGTCATGCCCAAGACTGGTTACCGTATTCGACGTAATAAGCGCCCATGACGATATTTGCTAATATACTGAACTGCAAAAGAAACGCGAGATTGTAAAATATAAATTTTATATGGTAAAATGGGGAAAAAATATGTCAAGACTGTAAGTGTGAATATTCCGTTACGTCCTGATGCCTTTGTGAGACAAACATTCCATCGAATGGTACAACGAGCCCTGAAATTAGTCGCCACAACGCAGCCTTGTCCAAGGCCGTGGGTGACAGTTACCATGCTTTGCCGTGGACACCAACATGCACGTGTAACTCAT